AGATGGTGTGGATGCAAAGTCTAGAATATTTACTGTTTGTCCCTGTACAGGAAATGTTTGCTGACACCGGGTCTAGACCCACAGAGCTGTCTGCAAAAAGGATTGAAATGTTACTTATGTAGACTTTAGAAAGTGAGATACAGACGTCCACACAGAAGTACTGTGGTGAGCTAAGCTGACACATTTCTTTCTCTAAGTCTACATGCCCTTTCTGGTGTTTCTTATAGAAGAGGTGCACATGATTCTTTTCAATAGTGAATGACAGGAATTCATCGGTGGCTGAGTTTTGATGTGAGAATTTCCTGTGTGTTTTTTTTTTAATTGTATGCCATATCTCTGACCATGAAGAAACTCATTCTGTCTGCTGGACACAGAGTCAGTTCTCCAGAGAAGACATCTGTGGTGAAGTAGCTAATATCCCGTGCACTTGTCATCAGCTCAGTAACGAGGTCTGACTGGGTCTCTCTTAGCCGTGACTGGCCCTATACAGAATAGGGCATTTATCACGCTGTCAAGGACAAACCAGCTGACCATCATACACACAGACTAAAGAGCCTGTCACTTAGCTCCTGTGCATTAGTCCCTGTTTAAACATGCAAAAGTTCTGGCCCTGGGACTGCAGTCACATTATCAGTCCCCTCCAGATCCTAGAAGTGTGATCAGGCATGAGCTTACTATATTCTACCATCCCTCATTTCCTCTTGGACAGACTGTCAGTTAAGTAGTTAATGTGGGTAAAAATGCTTGAAGCTGAAAAATGGTCAGCTGGCCTATCATGATAATTGTCTGCTGGGCCCCTTCCCTTTGATTTTCTCCACCCAAAGTCTCCCCACAAGACCCATTGCTGTCTATCAGTAGGAAACACCACACACACACACACACACACACACACACACACACACACACACCACCACCACCACCACCCCCCGGGAGGTGATGGAGTGGCTACTCATATTTAGAGCCAGAATGACAACAAAAATCATAGATCCTGAAATCTAGAGTCTGGATTGGTTTTCTTTTTTAGAGGAACTGGTACCTAGGCAGACCCAAGAGTCGACCAAATGTATCAAATTTTGGAAGATCTTTGTCTTATGCTGGATGAACTATTTAGAAAGTGCAAACAGCCTTTTGAGCTGACTACATGGAAATGATGGGATGATTTGCTACACCTGCTTTGAACCTGACACTCCAGAGCCAGCATTCAATTCTCTTTCTCTCAGTTCAAGCCACACTAGTCAGAAAGTTGATCTCTCAGATGGCTGCTAAATTTTGTGCAGTTATTCAGTGCCCAACTAGAAAGATGCCCAGGCCAGGCCCATGTTACTCCTCTCCATCTCCCCTATCTGAAGGCTACTTCTTTCAGTACTGGGACTGAAAATAGCTGACCTCAATCTTCCAAGGCACTATTACGGAGTGATAAAGCGCATAATTTCATTGTGGTCATATCAGGGCAATTCCTCTATGCTCTCTGACAGTCCTTTGAGAATGGAGTGTTCCCATTTTTCCTTGCACCTCATTCATCCTTCCTTTCCATCTTCATTCCTAAGGTCCCCTTAGTGGTCACCAGGTCACCCTTTCTTGGTCTCTCTCTCTCTCTTCTATTATAACCAGAGAAATTATCCCCAAAACACAATTGTAACCATATCACTGTCTACCTGAACTTATTTGATAGCGCACCATAGTTTATAAAGTCAAAACTCCCTAATTTAACAATCAAATCCCTTCAAAATCCTGGTGTCCACTTCTCACCTTCCAACACACTATACCTATACCACATTAGGCACTTTTCCTTCTACACCTGTGCTTTGAACATACTAGGCTCTGCACCCATATACCCATTCTTTCTTTCCTCTTTTAATACCCTCTCTACCTCACCAGTCCCTCAAGAAGGGTATCATGCTTGGTCAAGTAGAGGGGCAGCAAAAAATAGGAAGACCCTCATCGAGATGGATTGACACAGTGGCTGCGACAATGG